ACACACACACACACACACACACACACACACACACACACACACACACACACACACACACACACACACACACACACACACACATATATATATATATATATATATAAAAGAGGAGAAAAATTTTATTAATACTCTAGTAATGATTTTGTAAAATGCTTTCCTTTTATATCTAAATAAAGAATTTAAAACGAGGTTAAATATTCACATTTCAATGCGAGGAATGCGATTGAGTCGAGGATACGTAATATAAATATAAAAGCGAACATAAAACGCAATAGCTTATTATCCTATAGAATCTATTATATCCGATTCTAATGAATATTCTTAACGTTTCATAAAACTCAATAAGACATCTATCTCGTGAAATACAAATAGAAGGACGAGTAGAAATAGAAACGTTACATGCGAGAGAGAAATTAACGGAACGCGTATGGACTTGATATGTAAATTTATGTAGGATTAAAACATTCGTATAAAGTGTATGTTAAGGTAGACTTTTTAATTGTGAGAAAGAAACAAAAAAAAAAGCAAAACTTGCAATATGAAGAAAGTTAGATAATCATTACAGGCTGTCCCGACTCGTAAGAGATCCTGCGAGAATGAGAATCTAACGGAGAGTAAAAAAAGGATAAGATAATTCAAATCCATAAAAAAGAATTTCTACACAAATCAAATAAGAAAGAATCTAGAATTAAATCATATTCGTTGATGTGAGATGAGACAACGCAGAGATGCGAATAAATTAACAAGAAAATATTACGAGCGTTTAATCGAAATGCGCGCTAGAAATTATCGACGAGCGGCGTGACAAACCGGTAAGGCGAAACTTAATAAAAGTCGGATACTGCAAGTCGCGATACCAGGTCGTAAACAACATGCAGAGCTGAAAACCGTGGCACAATGAAGTGTATATCGGAAAAATAAGTGACGCGCGCGTGATATTGCAAAGTCGACATGTCACAAGAGACGGTGAAAGAGAGACGAATGGCGGAAGACGGAAGGGAGTAAGGAAGGAGGACAGCGGCGGATACGGAGAGAGAAGCGCTCTGGCACGTTCTGGTACCGCTCGCACGGTATCAGAAAACGCGCGATCCCGAAATTGCTGCTCCGGGAGGCACGCCGTGAGATTAGCGCACGCGCTTAATATTGCTTAAAATGCCGAGAGAGGAGCGAAAAGAGAAGAACAGGAACGATTTTACCTTCGGTAGATCGGCAGATCGCCAGAAACGATGACGACGATGAGAGAAGAGAACGGGACGAGAGAGAGAGAGAGAGAGAGAGAGAGAGGAAGCGAGACGGATCTCCTCTCTGGCCGGGAAGCGGGAACGCGTTCAAGTCGCTCGGTACAACACCACTCTATCCAACTCTATCGGACGAATCACCACGGAACACCAATCTTTCACAAATTCACTCCTCCATCACGCGCGTAGCGATCGCACAGGATGTGTCTTCACCTTCGATCCGCGGCCGATACTCGTAATCGATCGTCGATCCGCGATTTCATCCGCGAGGTTCAGCCGCCGATGTTCCGGCGCGGCGACGATCTGGCGAGCGCATCCGGAACCCGCCGAGAACGCGCCGAGGCACATAAGTATACGTTGGCGCACGTTGCGTCCGTTTGCGCGACTGCACTCGACCGCGCACGGCGTGATCACCGCCGATTTCACCAGACGGTCGGCGAGGAATGAGATTTCGCGTCCTTTGCTCGAACGTCCAAAACAACAGCTGTGTACGCGTCGTCGTCGTCGTCGTCGTCGCCGCCGGGAAAGACCGGGAGAGCGCGCGTAACAAACGACTCTTGCCGCGCGGCGCGGAGCGTGACAGCGGATACCATTCGAAGGTTATCCGCCTCCTGATCCGCCATGTGCAACCGCTGGCCTGTCCGCCTGCCTACCTGCCTACCTGTCTACCTCGGGAGTTCTCCACTCCTGCCCCCCCACTGCGATACCATATACGACCACCTGAAGCGTTTACCTGGCGAACGTCGGATTCGCACGAGCCTTCCCGGAATCGGCCGACGGAATCCATTCTGAGCACCCCGTTCGAATTTTGCCGCGTCGCGAAACAAGCCACCCAACTGCTCGAGACACTGACTTTTCTACATTCTCGGATCCTCCTCGCACACCTCCTTTCGTCACACACGCGAAATGCCAAATGAACCCAGATAAATATTTAATCGCCTAAGAAATACGTTCAAATTCGAATCCGACTGATCCGAATTCAAAGATTGGGTAGAACTATTAGCATAATTTTAACAATCTGTTTCTACTGAATTCGAGCACGCGAGTAATGCCGCGCCCGTATAACAGAATGCAGCAGCTTAATGGATAATCGTTGGAACGATTAATTAATATTACAGAAATATATTACGGGTTTCGATAAATTGCGAATAAAAATAATGATATATGAACGCGATTCGAATGACTGAACGAATTGAAGGGTTTGTAATTTGTGCTCACTTTACGGAACTGCAACTGTTAAAATCGATTGCAATAAACCTGTTATCAGCGCGTGCAATATCGTGGCGCCAACAGCGCCATTCATATATGAATGAATCACCGTATTATCCGCGGCGAAATGTTATCGTTTATAATCAGACATCGGTGAGCTGATGACAAAGGAAAAAAGAGAAATAATTATTACTATTTCGGAATGTATTAAAATGCAAATCTATATTCATGTTAGTTTCGCATGGAGGAACTCCTAGCACGCGAATCTACTACTTTTGACGAAAAGGAATACGAAAAGGCTACTTTCATGCTCGAAAAGATTCTTTCGAAATTTTCAAATGCTCTCCGAAATTGTCGTTGAGCGGAAAATCGTACGAGACAGAATGTCAATATATTTGGCTATGGTTCAAGCTTGCATACTCTGTGACTGAAAGTTTTATTTTTACCCTCCCCCGTCAATGCTGTCGTCGCACGTCATGTTCCACGGATCCACGTCGAAAACGGTACGTTTAAACCTAATGAGAACGAGAATGCAGTACGGAACATGAAATCGACTGTGTGTGGGGGAGGGGGCAACATATTTCAACTACATTCAAATTCGTACCCGCCCGTTTGCTCAGGAACGGTTGCGATAAAGCAACAATATCATCCGCTTGGCGATGAAATGTCTCATTTGCTTTAAAAACATCTGTTCAAAGAATAACATGTTGCCAGCGTTTGAAATAACGAGGATACAGGTGAATTTATGTGAAAAGTGTAGCTGCTCCCGTTTCAGTACTGGTTTTACTTTCTCGCATTTTCTTTCGTTTCTCTGAAACTTTACATTGTTACGCTTGTTATTTCTTTGTAAGCTAAGATTTGAGATAATTATTATACAAATCGTCTCCATCCTAGCTGTTTTTTGATGCTTCATTTATTTCTATCTTCTTTTATCTTTAATATCACACAACATATATTACTTAATTACAATTAAAAATATAAAGTAAAACAAAAATTGACTCACCCATTTTGTTGCCACTTCTTCTCCGGACACGCAGACATATTGTTCGAGACTTGATGCACTTAAATAAAAAAAAACAACAATTACATGTATATAATATTATATAATTAAGAAAATATAAAATAATGTGTGTGTGTGTGTGTGTGTGTGTGTGTGTTCGATTTTTACAGAGATATTTTTCTATTAATTCTATTTTCATTCTAAAAAGATATTAGTAATTTATTAAGAAGATAGTGCGAGCGACTTCTAATGTATAAAAAAAAGACAATCGAAAGTACAATATATTGATATAATTACCTGATGTATGTATTGGATAACTTCATTATGAGTTGCATTTTCCAAGGTGCGACCGTTCACTTCTAAAATTTCATCGCCCACTTCCAAAGTATCCGCATTGTCTGCCGGCGATCCTGTATAAATGAATATAATCTTAGTACTTGGCAATTTATGGAATTTAATTGCCGTGATATATTTAACGTTAAAAACAATATTTTCAACAACAAACAGTTTTGATTTTTCTACTTTGTAAATATGTTTGCGTTTCGTATTAAATAAATATTATAATATAAGCGCGATGCGGTATTCGATACTTTGTATTGAAAATGAAACATCAAGGTTTGCAAAAATCGCTATTTAAGCATCCGTGGATGTAACACATAATCTATTTCGTAAAACAGGAACGTATCTGCTAATGAGCATAGCCATTTAAAGGGCATTGAACGCGCAAATAATCGTAAAAGCAATCGGCTGGTACAGCGTTTTCTAAGAATACAGAATGGTGCGAAAAGCCTCTTGATAAAAGTATTAACCGAAAAAAATATTAACGATGTAACCGATTTATCAATGTTTTACAATTCAATTCATCGACAGAAGAATTAATATACTTAATTTAAATTTGTAAAATACATAAAAATCAATAAAATGTTCGTAAAAGTTGTAATATCATTGACATATATATCTTGTATAAAGTTTACTTTTTATAAAAAATATACATCTTTTAAAAAAATATCTAATAAAAAAATCAAGAAAGGAAAGAATGAAACATAAAATAAGCGAGTGCACCTTCAGAGCGATAAAACGCGCGTTACGATAGTAGTAAGAAGTAAATATAAAGGTCAGCCTATAAATAACACGTCGCGAAACACGTCCTCTATGTAAATCATCGTGCATTACTGTAACATGTCGTGTAAATCGGAAATCCGTCCGTCGCACATTTCCCGCTTTCGAAAGCGTGCGACGTGTGCGTGACGTGTAAGCTACGCGCATGATGATCGCTAACGAGAAAATTATCACTTCTCATTTAGATTTCTATGCGTTGCATGTCCCCGGGCGATCGAAGATAATCACATATATCTAAAGAGGCGATCGTGAACGACATTCATTCGACAAATATTCGACAAGCCGGAATAAATATCGTGCGGATAAAAAGAACGTGTTACTAAGGCTTTTAAAAATATCACATTGTGTGTACAGGATTTTGAGATAATCATGAAAATATAAAAATAATATTAAAAATCCGCTTTTACCCGTTATACTTACAAAGTGTGCAAAAGTGTTTTTGAAAATTTAACACGAAGAACATATTCTGTATGCAGATGATGCATTGTTTACAACTATTTCGATATTGGACGCAACGATGTTTTATCGTTCGCGCGAACGCGTATTGTGGAATACTTGACGTTCGTCGAATATCTGGCGAACGTATGTACGTGTGTGTGTGTGTGTGTGTGTGTGTGTGTGTGTGTGTGTGTGTGTGTGTGTGTGTGTGTGTGTGTGTGTGTGTGTGTGTG